TCCCCCCCCCCCCCCCCCCGCAATCCATGCGTAATTCAGTGCAGCTTTGCTTATTTTGATGTAACAATTAAGGGAATGATTATACTGGATTTTGATATGTGATCTCATTGTGTAAATGTAAACAGGGCTGGGTTTTGGAGTGCCATGGCTTCCAATTTGACGAATCAATCCCGCAATGTCCTCAGCAAAAAGTTCATGGTTAAGAAAGAGGTATTCTTCACTACTATTTGCATATGCCATAATCATGATGGCGTTAATTAGTGGAGTGCAAATATTTAGTGAGCACTGTTTATTTTCTTCATAGATTTTAGGTTCTCTTGAAATTAGTCAAAGACTTGAAGAAAATCATTTTGTCATGTGGTGTTTTCTTTTGGGTCTATTGTTACTCTTTTGCCTTTTAAGAAGATAATTTTTTGGTTTTAGTTTTGCTATTCTTTTTTTTTTTGGTTTGTACATAACCAGTAGTTTGTTCTTAACCAGGAATCGTTGGATAACATTACACTCTTCTCGATAATAACAATTATGTCCTTCATCTTGTTGGCACCTGCTGCCATTTTTATGGAAGGAGTCAAGTTCACTCCTGCATACCTGCAATCTGCTGTGAGTAAAATTTAAGAGCAGAAATTTCTACTGATTTGTTATATTTATACTTTGCAGTCATGGTATCTTTCATCTTGGTTTACTGATTTCTTTATTGTTGGCTTGTCAGGAATTGAATGTCAGACAGATATACACTAGGTCTCTCATTGCTGCTCTTTGCTTCCATGCATATCAGCAGGTAAGCATTTTAAGTGATGTATTTTTCCACTTCCTTTCTGTCACTTGTACGGAAATTTTTTTGTTTACTTTTCTAGCACACGTCCTAATTTTTATATCTGGTTCTGGTTGAATTCTGAAAATATGATACTCAGAACTTCCTGCTGATATTTGAATGCTGGAAATATGTAAAGTTAATAAGGTTTTTCCTGACGATTGATCTCATGCATTAAACCTATAGGACCACTTCTCATTCTCAGGACAGTATATCTTGTGTAAAGATGGGTGGAAATAAATGCTTATTTATCCATAACCAAGTGTTATATGCATTTCTGTTACAGCAATCACTCGAAAATCTACTCATTTGGCACCCACCATTTAAATTAGCTAACTGTGTATTTGTTCTCCTCTCTGTGTATATCTTTTGATAAATAGACGTTACTAGACGTAGCAAGTACTAGAATGGGGAAAATCAAACTATATGCGTAGTATGCATAACTCTGACTGAACTTAGATAACAACTCTGTATCCAACTTATCTACGTAATGCAAATAGACGTCCTTGCTTCATGATTTTGTTAGTCCCTTGATAGGGATTTCGTTGTCTTTTTCTTTTCATGGTGAACAAACTGATAGCACCCATGACTTGGCTTGAACAAATGGCTTTACAGTGAGCTTTTACAGCTTAGGCATAGGATGTACAACCTCAAGAGAATGAAAGTCTATTAAATTATTGAAAATGCCATACCATACATCTGGTGGGGTATACTAATTTTATTATCAGACTATCTTTACGTGTAGCAGAGCTACAGTATTTTATTGAAATTTGTGTTAATATAGGGGAAAGGAAAACAGTGTTTTGTGTTGTTAATACAGAGATGCAAATTGTGCATCTGGAAGAAAGCCACTAGCCGGACACAAGGCTTATAACACTGTTTCAAACTAAAGCAACATACAGTAGGTCCCATATAACATAAATTTTAGAGGCTGGATAACATAAATTTTAGAGCCTCCAGCCCCTCTTGTGGAGTCTAAACATTTTACTACTGTAGAAATTCTTCAAAACGTTCCATGAAGTTATATGCCAGATGAATGCCGAGAAGCTTACAATCTATTAGAAAGGCTGCCTGCCTTTTGACAACGCTGATTTGAGGTTGCTGGTGCAGGTTTCTTATATGATATTGCAGAGGGTATCTCCAGTTACCCATTCTGTGGGTAACTGTGTGAAGCGGGTGGTGGTGATCGTTACCTCCGTTCTCTTCTTCCGCACACCTGTTTCACCTATCAACTCTGTTGGTATAGTTTCTTTCATTTGATTCCCACAGAATAGCCAAAATCTTAAAAAAAAAAAAAAAAATTGAAAGAAATTGGGTGCCCGCTGTTTTAATATGACTGTTGGTTGTATGGCACAGGTACTGGAGTGGCCCTTGCTGGAGTGTTTCTTTATTCAAGGGTGAAGCGGATTAAGTCAAAGCCCAAGACAGCTTGAACTTCTTTAATTGAAAATTTTTTGCTGGTAACTTTATTGGTAGTTTTTCCTTTGAAGTAAACTTTGTTTTTTATTAAGATAATCAACATTGGCATATTTAGGATTTTAGTTGTATTTTCAGGCAGGGATCTCCACTAGACTTCCCTTTTTTCTTTTTGTTCCTTTTATTCGGGGGCGGTTTATTATTTTCTTGATCCCAATGATTATCGGCTAGAAATGCGATGATCTTGGATGACAATGATCCATGTCTGGTGTTAAAACTTGGTTAAATTGTATTTTCGAAAACACATAATGTATCGTCTACCGATTTTGGGGAATAATTTTGGACAAAATGGGGGGAAAATGGAAATGCAAGTGATTCATGGTAGCATGGTACATTGAGCTGTGCATAATCCTTTGCATATGTACATGTTGCTATCGGTGGATTGAGCTGGTCTAAAGTATGTCTCTAAAGGGACAAGGGTGATTAGTCCCTAGAGGTGCAAGAAGGGGTTGAACCTGAGATCTCTAAATTATTAAATGATTTATTCAATTATTGGATCACCTCTAAGAGTTATATATTCAAGTTCAATTGTATATATTACAATTTGACTTGAATCTTTTATCATGTTCAATTTTTTCAATTTAGCATGTCATATGAATCGTTGGATAACGTCAAGCAGTGATGGACTAATTCATTTCGGCGCCCTCTAATGGTAAATATCCCAATAATGGACCATGTACTAGCAAGAATACCAAAATTGATGCAGGATAGTGCTAAAAGAATTTTTAGGAGGGAATAATTTTAATTTCATTTTATTCTATATTGTTGGTATAGGGGTGTCAATTCCTCCATGTCATTTCGAATCATGTTATTTTAGTGTTCCTATTAGTAAAAAATTATTTTAATTCTAAAACACCTCATATGATAGCAAGTAAAAAAAATAAAAAAATATATAAAGTACTATTTTTTTTGGCCTGTAATATAANGCGTTCCTATTAGTAAAAATTTATTTTAATTCTAAAACACCTCATATGGTAGCAAGTAAAAAAAATAAAAAAATATATAAAGTACTATTTTTTTTGGCCTGTAATNGTGTTCCTATTAGTAAAAAATTATTTTAATTCTAAAACACCTCATATGATAGCAAGTAAAAAAAATAAAAAAATATATAAAGTACTATTTTTTTTGGCCTGTAATATAAATCAATCGTATTATTTGCCTTTAATCTTAATCTCACATATTTTATTATTTGTATTTATTGGTCATATTATTTTCAATTTTGCATATCATGAACAAAATTGTCGTCATTATCGTACAAAAATTAATCACCATTGGAGATTTTAATTTGGATAATTTCTAATAATTGAATGAAAAAATAAAAATATTTTATAAATGTGTTATATTTTTATTAGATGAAAATTTAAAATATCATATAACTAAATTAATAATAACTCGTATCTGAAGATACGATACAATATAAAATTCGAATATCAAAAAGATTGATATGTGTACACTATCGTATATGAGTAATATTCAAAATTAAAAATATATTGAGCTACAAAATAAAAAAAATAAATAAATTTAAATAAAAAAATTTAATTTGTGATAGAAATAAGTGATATAATAGGAATGANCAAAAAGATTGATATGTGTACACTATCGTATATGAGTAATATTCAAAATTAAAAATATATTGAGCTACAAAATAAAAAAAATAAAAAAATTTAAATAAAAAAATTTAATTTGTGATAGAAATAAGTGATATAATAGGAATGATCGAAAAAATGCGAGCATAAAATTCAATACTTATTGTTGTTTTGTTGATAGTTTAACGTCAAGGGTTTTTGGATTAGTTTACGCGTATTTTGATTAATCTCTTTTTTAATTTAGTAAAAGATAGATTATTTATGCTAAAATTAAAATTTTTATTATCAATTTGCGTGACGTGGGGTTATGCTTATTTTTGTTGATAAGTTGTAAATTTCTTTCCATTATAAAAGGTTGGGTAATATTACGCCACCTGTCTCTCCCAAAATATATATATTCTCCAACCTGCTTTCTCTCTCCACACGCACACATTTATCATATCACCACAAACCCTAACCTGCAAATCAAATCTATTTCATTTTCAATCAGCTCGAAAGAAATCACCCAAAATGTTGAGGCAATCCACCAGTAAACTTCTGGGTCTGGGCTTTCTCGGAGAGTCCCGATCACCGGCGGTGCAGGTTCTGCCGCGATTTTATCACGAGAGGGTGGTGGACCACTACAACAACCCACGAAACGTAGGCTCGTTCGACAAGACCGATCCAACGGTCGGAACTGGGCTCGTCGGTGCACCAGCGTGTGGCGATGTCATGAAGCTTCAGATTAAAGTCGATGACAAGACGGGGAAGATCGTCGATGCTTGCTTCAAGACCTTCGGTTGTGGTTCGGCCATCGCATCTGCATCTGTGGGTTAGTCTTTCGAAATTTGTTCGAAAATTCTTGTGTTTTCATTTATGTTTATAGGTGTATCAATTTGTTTTGCGGTATATAGTGGTCTGAGAGAGATTAATTTTCCAACAAGTCTGTTAATTGTGATGAGTTTCCAGTGTTTTGACTGGTAAATTTCTGAGCTGGGCTGGGCTAATTCCATTGTCTTTTGCTCCAAAATACTTTGACAGGAAATATTTCTTTGAAATTAATCAATTTTTTAGTATTTCGGAATGGGTTGCTTGGAAGGTGGAGTAGGATTGGTGATTGGTTAATGGTTTGTTTTAATTGAAATGCCTAATTGATAGCTTATTGTTTGTTTTGTTTGGGTTATCTGCTTTTTATTCTGTATTGTTCATAAATGTGCGTTTGAGCAAAAAATGCGTTATTTCATACTGTTGGGAAAAATTTGAGCCTAGTTTATTGCAAGAAAAGTGATCATCATTTTCTCTCTCCAGAGGTTTAAGCCCCTCTCACCCCCTTTCCCTCTTTTCCTACTTACAGTGGTTGGATGTAGGCTAATTAACATTGGGACCTGTATATGTGATTTTGGCATGGGTTGTTTTCCCATTTGAATCAAATAGCTGCAAATATATGGGGATTAGTCATGTTTCAATGATGGCAATGACAAATATGTTGTTCTTTTTTATGGATTTTGTGCCTTCATTTGACACAGTTCTAAGCTATTATATTTGGGGGCGGCAAATGAACTTACAGGACTTGTTCTAGAACTGTCTTGCTGAAAGCATTACTCTTGCAGTCAACTATCTCATAAAGGGCCACACTGATATTTTCGCTAATCATGTTCATGTGCTGTTGGATTCAGAGGGCTATTGGAAATTTCACATTTTATAATATGGTCTATCCCATATTAGAGGGTAGTTTGAGGTCTTAATTCAATTATATTTTGCTTCTGCAACCTGGCATGAAACTATTGCAACGGGAGCCACCCCATTTAGGTTGTTAAATGCTCTATTGCATACACTTTCTTTTCTGTATATCTGTTTGAAAATCTTCTACCTAAAAGTTAGTCTAGATCCTGTGCTTAACTGTTGTGGGGATTTAGGCACTTGGACATCGCTAACGACTAACTTTTTGTTTTCAGCTACTGAATGGGTGAACGGGAGACAAATGGAGGAAGTTCTGACAATCAAGAATACGTAAGTTCCAACTTTTAATTTTTTTCATCACACACACACACACACACACATGTATACTCGATTTAATTTTTCATATTGAAGTGTATGACATGGATCTTGCCATTAACCCTGATATATAGTTCAGGGGAAATGATCTAAATAGGATTTGCAGGAAATGGTATGAAAGGGGATAGAATAGCCAATGGTGGCAAGTTAATGAGCTGGTTTAATATGATGATTGCTGTAGGTGGGAAAGGAGGACAGGATGCCCTAATACTTGTCCTATGAAAACAAGGGAGGCAGATAACAATTTAGAAGGAAGCTTCTCTTGTGAAAGTCAATTTAATGAGCTGCTTTTAGTACAATTACAATTTTAGGTGGGAGGAATTGAAAGGGGGAAAGGGAAGAGTAACTATTTGTGTCAAAAAACTGATTTGTAATGACTTGGCCAAATATAGCAGGACAGGATTTCCAATTTCCCTACTCCCTGGCCTCCCTATGTCCACATTTATCTCAGCTTGTATCGCTAACATTCAGATTTGTAAACCACCTAGGCTCTAGCCTCTCTCTTGCATCTTCCCTACCTGCAGTCAAAAAGAGAGAACATAATCCACTTTTTGGTATATCCTTAATCATTCATGTAATGGGGATATTTTTGTACATGGCAACCCCCCCCCCCCCAAAAAAAAAAAAAAAAAGAAAGAACCATGAGTTTATCTCAGTGGCAACGTGCTACTTTTGATGATCTAGACAACCCAGGTCCCAATCCCTGCTCTCCTGTTGATGTACATCTCTTTCAACAGTCTTGTACCAAAACACGTTTGAGGTTGGCTACATTAAATCCTGTTTTGCCATTATGTTCCTATTGCTGTACATATTAAAACAAAAAAAATTGAGAGGCATATATATACTGGCGGTTGACATTTTGCAGCCAAATATTATCATACATAAATTAACAACTTTCTTAATTCTTATAAGGAAATTGAAATGAGAATATAAAACGGTTAAGTCTTCTTATGGGCATCTTGATTCGCATTCGGTGTATGTCATGCTATCGTAGTATTTGTATTTCTCCACCATTTGACATGGAAGAGGTTTCCTTCTTTATGAAATCAACGAATGCTTCATCATAGATGTTGCTTTGTCTTCCTTTTTGACTATTTATTTCCTCTCGAAGTGGCTATTTGTGAGATCTTTCATATTACTGCTGGCAAATTATGTCTCTAAGTGGTGTTATTTTCAATGACATTGCAGAGAAATTGCCAAGCATCTCTCTCTCCCACCAGTTAAACTCCACTGCAGCATGCTTGCTGAAGATGCGATAAAGGCAGCTGTTAAAGATTACGAGGCCAAGCGTGCAAGCGTGGGTGCAAGTGCAGAAGTTGCACCTGTGGAGAAGGCTGCTGATGCTTGAGAGGTGAGAAAAAAGGAAAGAGAAAATCACAGTACTTGTACAAGGATGTGGTCTTTTAATCTTTTGGGGGTGTCTATGTGAAGGATTGTACTTAAAACTGCTTGTGAGACTAGTTTTTTTTTTTTTTGGAAAGTAAGTAATCTGGATAAGTATGTTTCTATTTGAATGTAAATTTGGTAATAAAAAGTCTTATATGCCATAGATTTATGTGTGAAATCTCAAGGGTAGCTTAAGTGATAACAAGTACATACTGTAAATTCAAATATTTTTAGTTCGTTCTTGAAATTCTTCATAAATATCCTAATTTCATATGGATGATATATTTTTGTCCGGACCAGAGAAGAGATTAATTAAGGTGTGTGTAAGTTGACTTAAACACCTCTAATTATTGAACTTAAAAAAAAAATTAAAAAAAAGAAAAGAAGAAGATACATGTGTGGACTTACAACGTAGGAAAAGTCAATTGGCAAGTTACTTAGTGTGGTTAATTACAAAATACTTCCTCTATGTTTGGATCACATTACAATCAATTCTAATTTAAGCAATTTGAATGGATTAAATTAACTTATAGAATGGATGGAAAATATAAAAGTCCTAAAATACCCTTCCAAACATTATGTTATTTTTTATTCCCTGTGTCCAACTCGGTGGCCATTGACGACAACACCAATACCACCCCTCATGGCCGTCGACGGCAAAAACCGACAGCACCCCATATCTCTGTCGACGTCGCGGCCACGCCCACCCATCCAACCATCACCAAACACCAACGAACCCATAGAAAATGAGAGAATGAGAAAATGAGAAAAAATAGAATAAGACCATTGCAAATCCTCCAACCACAACCTAGCCGCTAATCACTACTACATATGTAGTAGCTTCACCACGAACAAAGATCCGATTCCACTTATTCGGCACCCAATGCTAAGCAGCGCTCAAATTGCAACTATTCCGTCGAATCCCCAAATAGGGTTGCGACTAACTTCGATTGAACCAAGAGGCTCCAACAAACAAAGCTTTGGCAGAGAGGTTGACAACGGATTTGTGTCATGGTGTGTGCGATCAGAATTTTTCATGTGTAGTAGGAGGGGTTTCAGGGACAGCAGCCGCAAAAGGACAAGTATGGGCTTAGGGATAATAATGGTGAGATAAAAGTGGTGGCGGTGATGAGTTACTGGTCAGCAGAGGATGCCGCTGATGGGACGGGTGGAATTTTTTGTCAAGGAGTGAGTGGGCTGGGGGACTACCCAGAGGTTGGTTGGGGCTACTACTTGCGGCGTCTACTGGTTGTAGGGGGTTGGGTGGGATTATGGTAGTGTGTTTGTGGGTGTTAGTTTTTCAAAGACAGAGATGAAAGGGTAAGTTTGATATTTTAATGAATTCAAGTCAGGTCATATTAACGTGGTAAACGTCTGTGAGCTTTTATAGGGTCAGATTTAATGGCAATTCAATAATTAATGTAATGTCCAAACTTGAAGGGGCTAATTGCTTCTGTACCCCCCCCCCCCCCCCCCCCNATACCAATTATAGGCGATCGTTTGTCTAATGGTGGCCGAAAAGACGTCGCCTTCGTGGGCCGCTCCGCTTATATGATCTAAGATAATAATTAATGTGCATAGGATGATAAAATTAAATGCGGTCTACTTGTTGGCCACATTATTATTATTATTCGGAGGAATTTAAGTATCAAGTGAGATCTTTAATTGTTAGAGAAATAAAATGAAAAATTTGAAATAATTAAGGAAACGAGGTAGTATTAATCTTAATTTTAATGGTAGATTATTAGATTTGATTAATTACGAAATTGAAAAGGTTCAAATCCATTTTAGTAAGTGGTATTAGGACCAATTCCAACNGGTAGATTATTAGATTTGATTAATTAGGAAATTGAAAAGGTTCAAATCCATTTTAGTAAGTGGTATTAGGACCAATTCCAACAAAACAAGTCCGGCTGAATAGAAAATCTCACATAAGTCCAGACCAGACCCTTCACTCTTTAGGTGGAACCATATCTTTTTATTTTTTAAGTTTAACGGTTAGGTCAGGATCAGATTAGGGGTGTTTGAGTAAATTTATACACATTTCGACTAATTCTTTTTTTAATTCGATTAAAGGCAGATCATCCATGTCTAAAGATGACAGTGGACCGAGGCAGGGACAGGGGAGTAGTCTCCACTCCCATATTCACTTAAAAAATATTCATCCACCTCTTGTCTACGCTTGTTAGCAGGGGAAATTTTAATCCTCATTCCTATCTATAATAATTAATTTATATGATTTTAATATAAAAAATTGAAAAAAAAATATAAAATCTTACAAATGGTTCTGTAAGACAAATAAAACTCTATTATATATCGAATAGATAAAAAAACAAGGGGGGGGGGGGTTTAGATGCCGGTACAATTTTTTAAATTTATTTAGATAAAAATATAACTCAAAAACTTATGTAGAGTAAAATGCATATTTTTAAAAAATGACACTATTGCCATTCAGTGTACGGCATGGATGGAAACCATTTTGTATTTCTTCCGTTTTTTTTGGCTACAATCAAGTAAAGAGAGATAAAATAGACTCAAATTTTTCTAAAAGTTTCTCTCTCTTCCTATTTTCTCTTATTCTATTTATATTAATATTACAATAAAACAATTACACTAATCTGTTACATTAATCAGTTACAATTGTCTTATAATTTACCAAACAGTTACTCATGCGTTCTAATAAATCAAACAATTACATAAAATAATTATACAAAATTATGACATCAACCCAATTTATCATNCGTTATAATAAATCAAACAATTACATAAAATAATTATACAAAATTATGACATCAACCCAATTTATCATTTAATTGTTTATATAAACTAAATAATTCCACCATTTAGTATCATGGTATATTACATCATCATGCCTTAACAATTGCATGAAAATGTGATTGTTACACCCATTAAAAAAATAATTACANATTTAATTGTTTATATAAACTAAATAATTCCACCATTTAGTATCATGGTATATTACACCATCATGCCTTAACAATTGCATGAAACTGTGATTGTTACACCTATTAAAAAAATAATTACACNATCAACCCAATTTATCATTTAATTGTTTATATAAACTAAATAATTCCACCATTTAGTATCATGGTATATTACATCATCATGCCTTAACAATTGCATGAAAATGTGATTGTTACACCCATTAAAAAAATAATTACACCATTAAAAAATATTTATACCCATTAAAAAAATAGTTGCACTAATTAAAAAATAGTTATGCTCATTAAAAAAATAGTTACACCCATAAAAAAACAGTTACACCAATTTAAAAAAAACAAAGAAGTTCTTTTTTTTTTATATCCGAACAACGAACAATACATAATATCTAACAAAACATCTTGACCAATTTTTATTTTTTTTAAAACAGTTATACAAAATAATTACACAAAATTATGACATCAATCCAATTTGTCATTTAATTGTTTACATAAACTAAATAGTTACATCATTTTGGTATCGTCGCTTCGTTACACCATCATATCTTAACAATTGCATGAGACTGTGATTGTTACACTAATTAGAAAAATAGTTACACTCATTAGAAAATAGTTATGCCCGTTAAAAAAAATAANCATTTAATTGTTTACATAAACTAAATAGTTACATCATTTTGGTATCGTCGCTTCGTTACACCATCATGTCTTAACAATTGCATGAGACTGTGATTGTTACACTAATTAGAAAAATAGTTACACTCATTAGAAAATAGTTATGCCCATTAAAAAAAATAAAAAAAATTCTTTTTTCCTACATCTCAACAACGAATAATACATAATATCTAACAAAATATCTTGGCTAATTCTCTTTTTTTTTTGAGAAAATTTAGGGTTTGACCAATTATTATAGTAAATGACTTTATTCCTTTTGGTCAAATGATATGAAAGCGAGGTTGGTGGCATGATATATATATATATGTTTCACTTATATTTTACACCCATACTCCTTCATCTTCATCTTCTAGCATGAATACCAATGCTTTTGCTCTCTCTCGCTCTCTGTAAACTCCTATTTTACCTCCCATTACTATTGTTAATTTTTACATATTTGTTTTTTCAAATTACTGTCAATGATGACTACATAATTTAAGGGAGGGTGTTTAGGTAAAAAAATTTTTTAATTCATTTGAATTTTGTACCTAAACACAAGAATTTTTATAAAAATTGTACTTAATAGAGTAAACAACTTATCCATACACTTTTGTTCAAATAAGTCTAAAAAATTATACCCACACCCAAAAAACTAAAAAAAAAAAAGAGAAAGTAAAATGTTTTTTTTTTGGACAAAAAGAAGAGTGTGCAGGTGGGTGAGATTTGTGATATTATATATATGTATTAATATACGTCCACCGTTTAATACGTATGATCCATCTCCTATCCAAATGAGACGAATTTAGATGAATATTCGTTTTTCCCGATCCACTACCATCCCTATTTAGAGTTATCAAAATTTGAACGCAAAACATTTGAATTTAAATCTCATTCTTATTATCATTTGAACTATAAGAGTTATTAATAAGTAGGTGAGTAGAGATTCTATCTTTGTGTTATTATATATATTAGCAATTGCCCATACATGAAGGCACTACATAACCCAAAAAATATCATTAAAAAAACTGAAAAGCCATTTGAAAAAAATTCAACATCTATAATACCTGAAGTAGGGAGGACAATCAAACTGCGCTGTGTTATTTTGGATTCATATAAAAAATCACTAAACTCTAACATGAACTATCTAGTTAATCATGTAAAAATGACTTGATACAAATACAATTGACTTATAACACCGATAATCAAAGCATGACTCATGTAACATACTTAAGAGAGCCAGAGAGGGGGATGCCTGGTGCATGGCGTCACTGGGTTGGCGACGTTGCCAGTGGTAGGTGGCGTCTCAATTAGAGAGATGAAAGAAAGTGGTTTGAGAGCAAAGGAAAGGAAGAAATGATGGAGTATTTTGGGGAAGATAGGAGGAGAAAGAAGTCAAAAAATGGGTCATGGGAAGATCAATATATGAACGTTGATAATATTGATGACTTGAGAGAGGAATGGTTTAGAAAGGAGATCCAGAGAAAGAGAGGAGATTTGGGTGTGATTTTGGGGGAGTTAAACATAGAAACTGGTGAGCGGGAAAAGGATTTTCATTA